TGAGTGAGAAGAAACATCCGATAAAAGTTGGAACATGGAATGTACGAAGTTTGAATCTAGGAAAATTGGAAATTGTAAAAAATGAAATAGAATATATAAAGATCAAAATTCTAGGGATTAGTGAGCTGAAATGGACTGGTATTGACCATTTTGAATCAGACACTCATATGGTTGGCTAGGGTGGGAATGATAAATTGAATAGGGATGGCATTACAGTCATCATAAAAAAGAACACTTCAAGATCTATTTTAAAGTACAGTGCTGTCAGTGACAGGATAATATCCATATCTTACAAGGAAGACCAGTTAATACTACTATTACTCAAGTTTCTGTACCAATCACTAAAGGCAAAGATGAAGAAATGGAAGATTTTTACCAACTTCTGCAGTCTGAAATTAAACAAACATTCAATCTGGATACACTGATAATACTGGTGATTGGAATGTGAAAGTTGGAAATGAAGAAGGATGGGTAGTTGGAAAATATGCTCTTGGTGTAGACACAACGCCAGAAATCACATGAGAGAATTTTACAGTACCAACGATTTGTTCATTGCAAATAACAAATACCTTTTGTCAGCAACATAAATGGCAGCTATACACATGGACCTTGCCAGAAAGACTACACAGGAATCAAATCTACTATATCTGTGGAATGAGGCAAGAGAGCATCTCAGTCAGTATCATCATTCAGAACAAAGCCAGAGGCCAACTATGGAATAGACCATCAATTGCTCCTATGCAAGTTCAAACTGAAACTGAAAAAAATTAAAACAAGTCCACAATAGCCAAAATATGACCTTGAGTGTATCCCACCTGAATTTAGAGACCATCTGAAGAATAGATTTGATGCATTAAAATTGAATGACTGAAAACCAGGCAAGTTGTAGGATGACAGCAGGCACCATGTACATGAAGAAAGCAAAAGGTCATTGAAAAGACAAAGAAGAAAAGACCAAAATGGATGTTAGACTCTAAAACTTGCTATTGAGTGGAGTATAGTTACAGCTAATGGGAGAAATGATGAAGTAAAAGAGCTAAACAGCAGATTTCAAAGGTGGCTCAAGAAGACAAAGTATAATAATGAAATGTGCAAAGACCTGGAGTTAGAAAAGCAAAAAGGAAGAATGTGCTCAGCATTTGTCAAGGTGAAAGTACTGTAGAAAAAAAATCAAGCCTTAAGTTGCAATATTCAGGAATTCTATGGGCAAAATATAAAATAACACAGGAAACATCAAAGGAAAAGGGAAGGAATACAGAGTCACTGTACCAAAAAGAATTAATCAATGTTCAGCCATTTCAGAAGGAAGCATATGCCCAAGAACCAATGGTATTGAAGGAAGAAGTCTCAGCTGCACTGAAGGCATTGGCAAGAAACAAAGTCAGGAAGTGACAGAATACCAACTGAGATGTTTCAACAAATGGAAACACTGGAGGCACTTACTCAGGTATGCCAAGTAATTTGGAAGATAGGTACCTGACCAAGCTGACTAAAAGAGATCCATATTTGTGCCTATCCCAAAGAAAGGTGATCAAACAGAATGCGGAAATTAGTGAACAATATCATTAATATCACATGCAAGTAAACTTTTGCTGAAGATATTTCAAAAACTGTTGCAGCGGTTCGTCAACAAGGAACTGCCAAGAAATTCAAACCAGATTCAGAAGAGGTTGTGGAATGAAGGATATTATTGCTGGTGTCAGATGGATCTTGGCTGAAAGAAGAGAATACTAGAAAGATGTTCACTTATTTTTTATTGACTGTGTAAAGGCATTAAACTATGTGGATCATAACAAATTATTGATAACATTGCAAAAAATGGGAATTCCAGGATACTTAATTGTGCTCATACTGAACCTGTACATAGACCAAGAGGCAGATGTTCAAAAAGAATAAGAGATACTGCATGGTTTAAAATCAGGAAGGGTGTGCATCAGGATTGTATCCTTTCACCATGTATATTCAATCTGTATGCTGAGCAAATAATCTGAGAAGTTGGATTACACAATGAAGAATACACCACCGGGTTTGGAGGAAAACTCAATAACAACCTGGCATATGCACATGACATAACCTTTCTTACTGAAAGTGAAGATGACTTGAAGCATCTGAATGGATGCTTTTGAATTACGATGTTGGCAGAGAATATTCAATATACCATGGACTGCTGGAAGAACAAACAAATCTATCTTGGAGGAAGTACAGCTAGAATGCTTCTTCAAAGCACAGATTGTGAGACTTCACCTCTCATAATTTGGTCATGCTATCAGGAGGGACCAGTCCCTGGAAAAGGATCTCATGCTTGGTAAAGCGGAGGGTCAGCAAAACAGAGGAAGACCCTCGATTGACACAGTGGCTGCAATGATGGGCTCAGGTGTAGCAATGATGTGAGGCTGGCGCGGGACCAGGCCCTGTTTCGTCGTGTTGTGCATGAGGTCATATGAGTCAGAATCAACTGGATGACACCTATCAATAACAGCCGTTCAATCCATATCAGGTGCCATTCATACCTGGATGTATAATGTAGCAGCATCAGTACAAAAAATTTGAAACACTGCCCATAATAAACAGAGTAGGGAAAAAACTTATTTTTAATTCCTATCTGGTTATTTTAACCTATTGTAAGGCATGTTGATATAAACTAGGAGCTGGGAAACTATGGCCCACAGGCCAAATCTAACTCCCTATTTTTATAAATAAAGTTTTATTGCAACATAGCCATGTTCATTTGTATATGGCTGCTTTACAACAGCAGAGTTGAGTAATTGAAACAGAGACTATATAACCTGTAAAGCCTAAAATATTTACTGCCTAGGAGCTCTGGTGACACAGTGCCTAAGGCATTTGACTGCTAACCAGAAGGCTGGCAGTTCAAACCTACCAGCCACTCCTCAGAAGGAAGGTTAGGCAATCTACTTCTGTAACGATATCGCCTCGGAAACCCAAGGAGGGATTGGTATGAGTCGGGTCCAACTCGACAGCAGTGCGTTTGGTTTGGTTTGGTTTAGCCCTTAACAAAAAATTTGCCAACCTGTTGTTTAAGTCATAAGAAATGTATATCTTTTTTCTTCTTTTAAAGGAGAAATGTGCCTCTTTGTCTGCTTCTAACTTTTAACTAAAACCAAAAAGAAGATCAAACTTCCATCGAGTCAAGACCATAATGACCCCTCCTTGGGTTTCTAAGGTGATATCTCTACAAAAGTAGATTGCCCAACTTTCCTTCCAGGGAGTGGCTGGTGGGTTTGAACCACCGGCCTTCTGGTTAGCAGTCAAATACCTTAGGCACTATGCCACCAGAGCTCCTGACTTAAAACTAATGCCTAGTAATAATAGCTGTTTACCTGGGGAAGGTGCACGTTGCTACAGTGTAGACAATTAGAAATGATTACAATACTGTGAAAGAGTTTTATAAACAGTATAGAAACAGATTCATTCATTGTATGAGAAGAGAAATTATAATTCTCCACTACTATAGAAAACCTAGGTGTCCCTCTACAGATATATTAAATCTCTAGAAATGTACAAAAAGTAGAAATCATTTAAATTCCATTAAGCAGTCTCTGTTCCCAAACTCCAGATATTTGTAATCTTCCTAAGGCATTTGACTGCTAACCAGAAGGCTGGCAATTCAAACCTACCAGTCACTCCTCAAAAGGAAGGTTAGGCAATCTACATCCGTAGTGATATCACTTCGGAAACCCAAGGAGGGGTTGGTATGAGTCGGTCCAACTCGACAGCAGTGTGTCTTCATTTACCATCTCCATTTAGTGCCAAGCACCGGCAGCAAGCTATCTAGGCCTTTTTCCAGAGAGAGACATAGTATTCCGCTCGACAGCCATGCTGGGGTCTGAGCCCCACCTCTGCCATCAGAGCTTCAGGAGTCATACTCAACAGCTGGGTGCTCACACAGTAAAGAACGCCATGCAGCGACTCCAAGCATAGTGTTAGAATATGGACAAAGTGTTCATGTTACTTTTGTTAGTGAGAAGGGGAGCTACAAACAGTGTTGTCTGGAGTGCGTTTGATTTTAACTTGGCTGTCCTGGCAAGGAGGGAGGGACATGAGGAGTAATCTCCTACCAGCCAGGTTCTATATATGTCTCAGATGGAAAGTCATGCTTAAGCTACAAGGCACAAAAATGGAAATAAAGAACTTTATTACTCACAGGCCTTGAGGACACACTACATACAGATAGGCTGTGGCGCACACAGGGAGGTTGCAGGTGGAGAGAATGCGTGAACTCAAGCCTGTGGACCTGGGGTGTAGGCTTTCTTAGGGTCCCAAGGTGGGGTGGGAGGATTTTCATTGGGTATATGACCATTGGTCCTTTTGAAACTAAAGAGCAGGAACAGGGGAACGTGGCTGTAGAAACTATTTAAGATGGGCGTCTGTAGGGAGCTGAGGAGTGAAAAACTTAGGTGGCTTCCATAGGATGGTTGTCTGGGGCAACAAGCTGCAGCTGAGTGTGGTGTACCAGCCAACAGGGTGAGGAAGGGGCCAACATGGATGCCAAGGCATCATCTAAGATAGAGTCTGGCTAATATAATTACAGGGAGCTCTGGTAGCATAGTGCCTAAGGCACTTGACTTTTAACCAGAAGGCTGGCGGTTCAAACCCACAGCCACTCCTCGGAAGGAAGATGGGGCAATCTACTTCTGTAGTGATACACTGCCTTGGAAACCCAAGGAGGGGTTGCTATGAGTCGGGTCCGACTCGACGGCACATAACAACAACAACAACAATATAATTGCACAGTCCAATCTCAACAAAATAAGATGCATAGGATGATTCCATACCGTGGGGAAAAACACTACTGAAAGGATATCCACAAAAGGGATTTTTCTTGGGGTTGTGGAATTTGGGATATTTTCTATTTTATTTTCTCCCTCTATTTTAGTAAGACTTGGGAAGCTAAACCTGAATGAATAAATAAGGTGTTCCATGGTAAGGAGTTAGGTAAGGGTAATTTTATTTGTCTCTATCTCCCCTACTGCCCCTAGGTGAGGTGGACTGTAAGGAGATTGGAGACTGTGTTCCAGGACCAGGAGCCACCTCCACAGACCTGTGTCTTCCTGCCCTGGATTACCTCAGGCGCTGTTCTCAGGTAGGGAAGATGTCCATGCTGAGCTCCAGGCCTTGACCAATCTCAGAAGATATTTCTACAACATATTGCATGTTTTTTGCTAAAGCTCAAGAGAAACACTGTGCTGTCTCTGAGGAGACTGGGGCTTAGATTTTGGGTTTAAATTTGTGTCCTTTACACTTTCCACAAAGGAAAGGAAGGATAATAAAAATATACTAGAATGCACAGTTTGATCCCAATCTCTGAAACGTCTTACTTATACTCAGTACCAAAAAGTGGAAGATGGGGATGCAGACAGTGGAGAGGGACTTAACAAAGGCAAATGGGCTGTGTTCAATCAAGATCTAGTAATAAAATAAAATAAAGCAATGCTTATCAAAGTGAATGGAGAGCAGTGGTGGTTCGGTGGTAGAATTCTCACCTTCCATGTGGGCAGGTTAAGTTCCCAGCCAGTGGACCTCAAGCACAGCTATCAGTGGAGGCCTGCATGTCGCTATAAAGCAGAACAGGTTTCCAGAGTTCCCAGATTAAGACTATGAAGAAAGGCCTGGTGATCTGCTTCTGAAAATCAACCACTGAAAATCCTATGGATTCCAACAATCCAGTCCAGTTGTGTATGAGGTCACCTTGAGTCAGGGGCAGATTCAGCAGCAGCTAACAACATCCAAGTGAACAATGGCCTTCATTGTGCTTAATGCAATAATTCTCTGTTCATATTGTATCATAATGCTGGTCAAGCAAGGTAGTACTCCTTGAAACCCTTTCTTCTCTAGGCGTCAGTGACATTCCTTTCTCATAGGTTTCCCCCCATCTTCTCAAGCTGTGTCACTGAAGAGGTTGTGCCTCTTCTTGTCTCTATCTACTACAGGCTGTCCGTCGGTGATATCATTGCTCCCATGGCTTTGAAAGGATACATAGCCCTGAGTTCAGCTCCTCTACTGGCCCTCCATGACGTAACCCCCAGCTTCCTCTCCACTCTCATATCCTTGCCTCTCACTATGCACCAACCACACTCACTTCCTACCCCTCACATACACCAGGCTCATTACTGCTCAGGGCCTTTGCTAGTCCCTCTGCCTGCAATGTTGTTTCCCCGGATGTTGGTGTGGTATTCATCATCATCTGAAATGTCGTCTCAGAGAGACCAGAGCTAAAGGGTGTACCAATTCCCTGCCAGTGTACCCCACACACACACACAAGGTCACTCTAAGACCACCTGTCTCATTTTTCTTACAAAATTTACATTAGAAATTTTGTTATTTGTGAAAGAATTGTCTATAAAATTCATAAGGACAGGAATTTTGTCCATCTCCATTACCACCGTTTCTCTGATTTTTAGAACAGTGTGAGGTGGAGGGCACAATCCTAACTCACATGGAGCTGTGGCAGTTTGTCCCAGAACAAACTGAGAGTCGTGGAGGGCTGGGGCCCTAGCAGTGTGAAGGGAATAAAGGACCCAGGCTTTATTTAATCAGAAGCTCTGCTTCTGATCCTCTCGTTGCTCCTGCCATTCCTATTCTGGCAGATGCCTCCATTTCCTCATTGCTTTTGGCCCCGTTTCCTTAGAGGATGAATCAGAGAAAGGGATGTCAGATATACTTACAGACTCATTCTCAATGATCCCCATATAACACTTTTTTCCCGTAGGCAAAAATTCTTGACGTTTCATGATTCCCTCAGTAGGTTTATAAAAGTCTATAAAACTCAACTGTAATTAGAATACTAAGGAATCTTTTTTTCTCTACTTCTTTGTTGCCATCGAAAGTTACTTCATTTGCCTCTTGTGAGCAAGTTGGTGAATCCAAATCACAGACAACCAAATTTAAATTTTTCATTGGCTGCTTCTCTGGTTTCCTATTTCCCTTCTATTGCTGATATATAATTTTATTGTTCTTTAACACTCAGAGTACAGCTTTTTCCAATACTTAATTGTGGTTTGGTTTTTTTTTTTTTTTTTTTTTTAGTTATTGGCCAAAATCTACAAAATGCCCTTGAAGCCAATATTTCTGAGTGGGCGGCTTGCTAGCTTGCCTCGAAGACTTCAGGAGCAATCAGTGAGCAGTGAGGATGGCATTGAGTCAGTTCTGTCCGATTTTGATGACGACACTGGTAAGATCATTGATTGGACTAACCAGATTATTTGCTAAATTTCTAGTCCCAGAAGCTTAAACCATGAGGTAAGTAATTTATAAGAATGATCATTCATTTAAATTGTTGTTTACTACTCTGTAAGAACAAGCCTACCCTGGGTTTCCAAGGACTCTACAAAAGTATCATTTTGCAGTTGATGCCTCCACCCAAACCTATCCGTTTGACATGGGTGCCCCCATCTCATACCAGCGCAGATTTGCAGATTGCACTAACTGCCATTTCTAACTCTGAATTCACTTGAATTTAGCAATCTGGAATGTGGTCTCAGTGCAGCACTGGTACTTAAATTGGCTGATAATTGTCTTCAATGCCTTTTAGAAACACAATCATTTTATAATTACTTCCTGCAGGGCTATTTGGTTAGACACTGGGGAAATAAAACCTTTACTGAAGAAAATCTATTTGTGACTGGTGAAGCTGAAGGACCATTAAAAGAATAGTTTAAGGAATTTATTTCAAATTAGGTCCCATGTAATCTCCTGTGAGTTAGAGTTCAGTCCGGTAGCTTTGGTTTTATTGTTGGTCTTCCTCAGTTGGTTTAAGCTCATGTGTCCTGACTTCTGTCTCAGAAGGCCTAGACCCATTGTAGATCTATCTAGAAATGGAAATGACATGCTAACAGGCCTAATTTCTAGCTTAGGTTGTTTCAAACTCTTACAAAAGGCCTTTATTTAGAGGTTTTTGTTTGTGTTGCTGTTATAGATTCATTTGTGCAGATGGAAAGAAGGTTTACATTTTTTTCATAGGAGTTTTAAGATAAAACCTCACTGGTTCAGACCAATTGTGAGGAAGAACTATAAGCAATAAAAATCTAATATAGAGAACATTTTAAAACACTGGGAAATGGCTAAATGTTGCTTAATAAAGGCTTCATCTTAATGACTAGATACGGGTCATTTTTACTCAGCATTGAAAACCTCCAACCCAGATAATTACGCACAGAAGCTAATGTTGCTTATCCATGATCCATTCATTCTTTAAAACAATTGTAAATGGTTAGTGTATGTAAAGGTGAGCATTCCCTTCCCATCTTGAACAAGCCATTTGTTAATCCATTCATTTTTGTTTTCTAGGGAACCTATATTCTTATGAATAAAGTTCAGGCAAGCCCTAATCTAAATTATAATAATATATGAAACATAGCTAGATCACAGAAAATAATAAAAGTAAAAGCTTTAAGTTTACATTTCAAAAAATAATTCTCACCATTGACACATTCTTAGATATTAGTACTCTGGTTCCCACAAATACTTTTTATTTTCCCAATAACCTTCGCATAGCATCAAAATTCTAGTCAGTGTTAATATTTCCAATTATGTCCATTTATTTTCAGGATTCCTGTGAGGTCCATAAGGAGCTCTGGTGGCATGGTGCCTAAGGTATTTGACTGCTAACTAGAAGGTTGGTGGTTCAAACCCACCAGCCACTCAGCAGAAGGAAGACTGGGCAATCTGCTTCCATAAAGATTTACCACCTCAGAAACCTAAAGCAGGTCACTATGAGTCAGAATCAACTCGATGGCAGTGAGTTTGGTTTTCCTTGGAAGGAAGATGGGACAATCTATTTCTGTAGTGATACTGCCTCGGAAACCCAAGGAGGGGTTGCTATGAGTCTGGTCTGACTTGATGGCACATGACAACAACAACACTTTGTGACTGGTTGATGTATCTTAACAAAAACCCACTGCCATTGAGTCAGTTCCAACTCATAGGAGACCCGTATACAGAACAGAAGAGAACTGTCCCACAGGGTTTCCAAGGCTATAAATCTTTATGGAAACAGATTACCTCATCTTTCTCCCACAGAGCAGGGGGTGGGTTCAAACCATCAACCTTTGATTAGCATCCAAATGCTTTAACCACTGCACCACTAGAGTTCCTGATGTCTCTTTGCAAAAAGGGCAAGGAGGCCACATATTCTAACCTCCTCTAATCCCACAAGAGGAAGGCAGGATTACCAGCAGTAACCCAAGGCCTATTACTGCCAGGCCAGACATGCTGCCTCCCTCCAGCCCTTTCACCAACCGTTCCTACCAAAGCACCCACTACCTCTCTCCTGGGTTCGATAATTTGCTGCAGTGCCCACACAGAACTCACAGATTATGAGGTTTATTAGGGAAGCACCAGGTTACAATTCTAGTTCAGGAAAAATGCTCAGTCTCCTTCCTAGACCACCGTCTCTCAGCCAAGTCTCTCACAGTCTCTCCCCCAGCAGTGCATGTTCCTCAGTGTCTTACTCTGCAATGCATGTCTCTTGCATCTCTTTCCCAGCAGCACGTGTCTCTTTCAGGAGCGTGTGTCTCTTTCAACAGCATGTCTTCCTCAACCAGCAGTCAGAGAGAATTCTGCCTCTAGGAGGCCTCCTTTTGAGCTTGGCAGAATGGCCAAACCAACCAATCATAACAACAGAATTTTAAGCACCTGAGAATGAGCCTCCCATAACATTGCATTGTGCCACACTCAACAGAAATAACCCAGGCGGATAACATTTACAATCAGGAGCTCCTCAGTTGCTCACAGCAAATCCCATCTTGGAGTTTACAAAGACTTATGGGTAGAAAAGCCACACTATGTAATTTACTACACCGCACTCTTGAATCTCTCTTTTAATCCATAGATTGACCTTTCCATTCATCTCTCTCTTTCTTCTCTGCAATTTTATTTGTGCATAAAGTGAGATCCTTTGTCTTGTGGCATTTTCCATCTGGGTTTTAGTAGTTACACCTTATAATGGTGTTCAACATCTCTTTCTTTCCTCTGCATTTCCTGTAAATGAGTTTGTCCATACTTCTCATATTTTGGCGTTCATGAGAATCTCATGTCCCCTAAGTATGTGTATTTGTCTGTGGACTTTGGTTTTGCCTCTTGATTATCAGAATATTAAATAGATAGGTAGATAGATAGATGATAGATAGATAGATAGGTAGATGTAGTTTTTTTAAAAATGGGGATATTTTAAAACTATGCTGCCAACTCCTAATACAATTACCTTTCACAGGAAAATTAGAAGTGATGGATTAAAATGAAAATTAGGTTGCACTATTTTGTATCCAATTCCAAGCCCTTTTATATGAAACTAGAGAAATTGAGTCCTTTCACTGCATCAGCTGTTTTAGCTGTCAGTCCACATACTTGAAAAGGCAGTGATGAGCAGAAATGTTGGCTTAAAACACTGCTCAAGTAAATGACAAAACAAGAATTATTTGAACCAAAAAAAAAAAAAAAAGAATTTCATACTTTTCCTCTCACTCAGTAATATGCAGCATGAAAAGTTAGTATCTAATTTTAAAAAATGAAACTCTTAGAAGAGAAAGAAGAGAGAGGTAGACTGAGGGATGATTGTTCTGGGAGAACAATCTCTTGATGCTGGGAGCATCATTCCCACATGTAAGCAATATAGACAGTGTTTCATATGTATGTAGGATTAAGAGGGTACCGTAATTGCAAACTGAAATGTGGACAAGTACATTAAAAATGATTTGTGTTTTCCTTGTTAGGGGCTATTGAGTCAGCTCTGACTCATAGCAACCCTGTGTACAACAGAGTGAAACAATGCTTGGTCCTACACCACCCTCACAATCCTTGCTATGCTAGGGCATATCATTGAAGCCACTGGGTCAGTCCATCTTATTGAGGGTCTTCCCCTTCTTCACTGACCCTCTGCTGTACCAGGGAATGATCCCTTCTGACAACATGACCAAAGAAGGTGAGACAAAGTCTGGTCATTCTCACTTTCAAGGAGCATTATGGCTGCACTTCTCCCAGGACAGGACTGGAAGTCCATGGTATTTTCAGTATTCTGTACCAACACCACAATTCAGAGACATCAACTCTTCTTCAGTTTTTCTTATTCCCTGTCCAGCTTTCATATGCATATGAGGTGATTGAAAAGACCATGGCTGGAGTTAAAAAAAAAAAAAAAAAAACAATCCCATTGCCATGGGAGTTAGCTGTACCTTATTCTTCAAAGTGATGCCTTTGCTCCTCAACACTTTAAAGAGTTCTCTTGCAGCAGATTTACCCAGTACAATGTGACATCTGATTTCTGTGGATGTTAATTGTGGCTCCAAGTAAAATGAAATCCTTGACAACTTCAGTTTTCCCCATTCATCATGATGTTGCTTATTGGTCTAGTTATGAGGATTTTCGTGTTCTCTATGTTGAGGTATAATCCATACTTTGGATTTCTTTGCTCTTCATCAGTAAGTACTTTAAGTTATCTTCATTTTCAGCAAGCAAGGTTGTGCCATCTGCATATCACAGATTGTTAATTAGTCTTTCTCCAATCCTGATGCTGCATTCTTTTTCACATACTCCAGGTTCTCACATTATTTGCTCAGTGTACAGAGTGAGGGAGTATGGTAAAAGGATAGCAACCCTGACACACACCCTTCCTGATTTTAACCATACAGCATCCCCTTTTTTCTGTTTAAAAGACAGCCTCTTGGTCTATGTATAGGTTCCTCATGAGCACAGTTAAGTGCTCTGGAATTTCCATTTTTCACAATGTTATCCATAATTTGTTATTTTCCACACAATCGAATGCTTTCGCATAGTCAATAAAACACAGGTAAACATTTTTCTCGTACTCTTTGCTTTCAGCCAAGATCCATCTGACATCAGCAGTGACATCCCTAGTTCCACATCTGCTTCTGAATCAGCTTGAATTTCTGGAAGTTCCCAGTCAATACGCTGCTGCAATCATTTTTTAATAATCTTCCATAAAATTTTACTAGCATGTGATATTAATGATATTGTTTAATAATTTCCACATTGATTTATCTCAAGCTCATTGCTGTCAAGTTGGTCCCAACTCATAGTGACCCCTCCTTGGGTTTCCAAGGCAGCCCAGTCTTCCTTCTGAGGAGTGGGTGGTGGGTTTGAACTGCCAGCCTTCTGGTTAGCAATGAAATGCCTTAGGCACTATGCCACCAGAGCTCCTCACTGATTTATAGAGCA